AAGGCGAACATACCCAGAGGGGCTTCGCCAATCTACCAGCGAAACGCCGGGCGCGCGGCGGGGCAGCCGTCGCACTTGGCGGACCAGCCGTCTTTCAGCACTCTCCGCCCCACCCTGTCGTCAGTGGTGCGGGGGGCAGGGGTCATCGCGCCAACTGCGACTGGGTCGTGGACTCCGACTTGGGTCAAGAAGAAGTCCTGGATCGCGTTGGCGCCAGTGGGCTCGCTGACAGCGCGGCGGGCTGGGAGCGGCCATTTCGCGCGGTAGCTTTCAATGGGCCGGCTGGCCTCGTCGGGCGCGCGAAAGAAACAGCCAATCGGAAACTCGTCGTCGGGGACGGCGAAACCGCGCCCGGCCAGGTCTTCCCTGAAGCACTTGGCGCAGTGCTAGCGGCAGTCCCTGCGGGCCCGGAAAGCGGCCAGTCTGCTGTTGGTCATGCTGAGTCTCTGGTCGCGGCTCGCCCAGGCTCCGTCGTCGGCTTGGAATGGCCCTCTTCCGCGCCCTTTGTTATCGCGTCAGAGTGCGCTACGTCCTTTTCCGGGTGGAACCGAGCGTCGTCTTCCCTGGGGGCGCCCAGGGGCAGGGTGACGCCAGGTGGGGGTCGGCTGGGCGGGAAGAGTGTATGTCCTGTCCGCCACTGGACATAATTCCTCCACCAAAGTACTGGAGCTGGCGCGCTTGCCCCTTTCTTTGGCAGGAGCCCCGCCTCGCCCCCTGCGAATTCGACGGAGAGGGCGCAGACGGCGCACTCGCGGCCCGCCAGCGCGGCCAGGTTGGCGGGCAGCGCCAGCGTCTCGAGCATTGCGAGCGGGGCGGGCGTTGGGAACGGGGCTTGTTGTATCTCCGCCCAGGTAGCTGGGCGCCCCATGCCCTCCACGTCTGGGCGGCATTGCGCGACCTGCGCGCCTGGGCACCTGCTTGATCAGCGCCTCCAGACGCGCGCGGAGCCCGCGGAAGTCCGCGTCGGCGGTGCCGCGCGCCGCCCCGAAGCAGTCCCGGACCCGCAGCCAGGCAGGGTTGCGCGGGATGCGCACGCCGAGAAAAGGCTCCAGCACGTCTCCGATCAGGCCAGGCTTGGCATATGGGGCATGGGGCCACGAGGAGCATCGTGGCCAGGGGGCTCCTCGCCCAGGCGCCAGGCAGCGGCTGTCCGCCAGGTCCTTAGGAGGACTGCCTGAGTGGCCCAGGCTGGCGGCCGCGGGCCTGCGGCAGGGCGGTGAGGCAGCGCCGGCGTCGGGCGGGTCGCCGCGCCGGGGGCAGGAGCACGCGGTGCTACTCCAGGCGGCCGGCGGTCTGCGGGGCGCGCTGGCGGGGACTGTGCTCTCCTGCCGTGATTGCTACTTGTTTTGGCGCGTGACTCGCGGCCCTTCGGCGAGCCGGAGCTCGGGGGCGAAGCGGGCGCCCTGGCGCGTGAGCTGAGGGCCGGCCGCTCAAGCGAGGCGCGCCCAGGTTGCCGCGTAGACGGAGTTGGTCGGGTCGACCACCAACGCAAGATCCAAACAGTAACCGTCGTGGCTGACCAACTTGGGGCAGCGCTCGTGGAGGTTGGCCCGGGCGCACCCCAGGCCGCACAGGCGAGGGCGCAGGCCCAGGGCGTAATTAGTAGAGGACCGGGAAGCAGGCCGGGCCTGCCAGCAAGGCGGCACCAGCGGCGGCCAAGTCGCCACGCAGCCAGGCCCAATCCAAGTTGTCTGGGAGCGGGTGTCGTAGACGGCGGCGAAGCCCAGGGCGTGCTGTCCTTGTGCATTTTGCATTTGCCTGAACCAGGCCTCGAGCTTGCCTTCGGCCAATGTCGCCTTCGTCTCCTCGGGGCTGGCTGCGCTGTCTGCCCATCCGTTCTGGAGCTGCCGGGGGTCGAAAGCTGTGTGATTGTCGAGCCGGTGCTGGGTGCCTGTGGCCTCTTCATGCTTCTATGAAATCGAGGCGCCTACGTCCAGGGCCCAGTCGGCGAGCGCGTTGAACAAGGCCTCGCCGGCTGCCTTGCACACCTTGCCGTTCTTGGCGACGATGAGGCCTTCCTGGGCTCTTGTCACGGCGGCGTTGGGGCGTCGGGCGTCGCACATAAACCTCCTCTTTTTGGCCAGTTCCGCACAGGTGGTGCAGAAGATGACCAGCGCTGCCTCGTCACCCTGGCACCCGTCGACGGTGCTGATGTCGATGAGGTTCTTGGCGAAGAGATCTGGGCAACGCGGTTCGATGGCGAGCAGGAGTCCGTGCTGTTGTCGGTCGCGCGCGGCAGGTGGACTCGCAAGGGGCCGGGGAGCCGCCTTTGCCTCCGCGAGGCGTGCTGGGGGGCGTGGACCCTTTGCCAGAGGACTTGCCCTTGCGCCGGCCGTTATTTGCCTCGAGGAAGGTGCCAGGACGGAGCGAGCCGCCGTGGCGCAGCGCCACCATGCTGGCACGGTAGCCTGTGATGACGAAGACGTTCTTGTTGCGAGCGATGAGGTCAGGGGCAGCTGCGGCAGGGGGGTCGCGCACAACTGCGGCCTCCGTGATGTTCGCCGTGCCTTCAACGCGGTTGCAGGAGACTTCGGCGGACTCAGAATGGACGAGCAGTGCCCGCTGGTGGTCGCCAAACTGTGAGCCGTGGGCGAAGTTGCGCGATTTGCCAGCGCCGATGGCCGGGCTGTCGGGTGGGCATCCACGGGCGGCGCAGGCCTGTTCAAAATCTTGGGGAGAGAGCGGGGTGGCCAGGCGCCCATTGAGGCCTGTGCCGTGAATCAGGGGTCTCTGCCTGGCCGGGTCTGTCAGCCTTCTCAGGAGCAGCCCGTCGTAGAAGCAGTCCGAGGCCCACTGCATGATGGATGGGTGCATCCGGTAGCACCTGTCCAGGAGCACGCTGTAGTGGTCCAAGGGGCCGAGTGAAGCATGGAACCTGCTGGGCACCGACAGGCCCATGCCCATGGCCTCGGCGCGCCGGGAGAGAACCGTGGGCGGGAGCTGGTTCTGGTCCCCGCACAAGGATGGAACACACGTCGTTTTCAAAATGGTGCTCTCGCCGTGGCGCCGCGCACGCTCGTCTCAAACAAGTCCAACGACTACACGGATGGATGGGAATCGTTGTCAAATTGGGCTCTCGCCTTGGCGCCACGCACATTCGTTCTCAATATTGCAACAATGAATAACCATTACCAGCATGCGACAGTTACACGGATGGAGGGCTGCTCGTTCTCAAAATTGGGCTCCAGTGGAAGACTTCCTATAATCCTACGTCCCCACGGTGTGCAATCGCTACGCGGATGGAAGGCGAGTCCTTTGAAACATGGGGCCCTCGCTTGAGACCGTATGAAAATGTATGACAGTAACTTTGAGCTAGTCCATGCTTACACGGATGGAGGGCAAACCATTTTTCAAGACAGATCTTTCGCAAGACACTTCCTTGAATTTATGGCCCTGGACATAACGAAGACCTTACGGCCGGTGCCGCCGACCCTGAAGGGGGACGACGACGATGACGACGGCGACGAAAAACATCTAAAAAACTGTCAGAAAATCAGTGGATGTACCCCCATTGGGGTTTTCTTGGGTGCTTTTGGGGCTCTCTCGGGCCTCCTAGGGGCCTCTTGGGGGAGTTGTGGCCGTGAGTGTTTGCACCTCTTACGGCCGGAATGATGGGAGGTGGATCCCCTACAAAACGGGGTCCCGCTCGAGTGGCAGGCCCACGGTGTACTCGTCTTGTCAAGGGGGGGCGCCTCCCGCGCTGGGACTCAACCGTTGGAACGACTTACAGTCAGCGCGTATAGTAAGGATGCGCAGAATAAGTTCTTTGGGCTGAATACTACCTAGGGATAGGCCGAATGCAAGAATGCAAGGGTACCTGTGGGAATGGCACTCAACCTTACAATGCGCGTTGACTGTATGCGGGGACTTGGGACCGAAAGGTGTCTTGCAGCATCGTCATCGGGGGTTTGCTCTGATCCTTCCTCCTCCTCCTCCTCCTGCAATCCTGTTCCTTGTAGGTAATGTTCCAGGGGAGCACTCGGGACGGAGGGTGTGTTGCAGCATCGTCATCTTGGGTTTGTCCCGGTCCTCATCCTCCTCCTTCTGCAATCCTGTTCAACGTAGATAGTTCCTCCCCATCGCACCACCAGTCGTGTCGTTGAGGCGGGCTGGGCGCTTCGCCTGAGACTTCCCCACCGTTCATGATCTGGAAGCTCGACGTGTTCAGCAATTACACGGATGGAACACTTGCCATCCCTCGGACGTCCGTTTCCCGTGCCTGATTCTGTTTCGCGCGTTTTTTGCCCGCGAAATCATCCGACGAGTCGTTTCCAAGTGGTGCTCTCGCCGCGGAAGCACTGCAGCATTGTTGAGACGCCACCAGTCGTGTCGTTGAGGCGGGCCAGGCGCTTCGCCAGTACTCTGTAAGTTCTACCTGATCAAGTTAATGGACGGATGGAGCACAAGTCGTGCTCAAATGTGCGCTCTCGCCACGGCAACACTGCAGCGTCGTTGATGCACTTGGGCTCCCGAAAGGCTGTTAGAAACACTCTTTGGTGGGCCTACAGGCGGCGCGGGCTACGGCGGCAACAACGGCGACGCGTGGACCGTGGCGAAGACGAGACTGCCGACGTCGAGGCCGACGCCGCCACCACCGCCGCCGACGACGACCAGGCCGACGACGTCCAGGCCGACCGCCGTCGACGACGACGACCAGGCCGACGACGTCCAGGCCGACGATGACAACGACGACGACGCAGACGCGGAGGCCGAGGCCGAGGCCGAGCACGAGCACGAGCACGAGCACGACGACGACGACGAAGACGACGACGACGACGGCGACGGCGACGACGACGACGACGACGACGACGCCGAGGCCGAGGCCGAGGCCGAGCATGACACGACGATGACGACGACGAAAAAACTTCTGAAGGACGGAGGGCTGCTGAGAAACCCCGCCGCCTTCTGAGAAGGCCTCCTCTTTCTCACTTCCCCCCTCGCTCGCCGCCGACCTTCAAACACGCAGGACACCGAAGCGAGTCCTCGAGATCTCAGGAGGCCGAAGATCATCCTGGAGGTCCTCGACCCTGGCCTCTGGCCAGAGGCCCCGTGGGTACCAGTCAGACCATGCGCCTGGCTTTCGTTTGTGGCGACAAAAGGTACCGATAGCGCTTCTCCCCGACCACTCATGGGGTGCGTTCTGAACAGAATTTCGAGTAGAATCCAGCCGTGGCGACGATGGTCTCTCGGGAGGCCCAACAGGGCGAGAACGAGGAAGGGCAGCGGCATCGGTATGTTTCCCCCCTTCTAAATCGGACGAAGCGAAGCGTCGAAGTCCATCGAAGTCCTCCTTGGATTCCCTGGACGCGCGCGCACAATAGCCGCGGGGCCTCGTAGTGGGCGAGCGCCTCCTGGGCAGGCAGGCCGAACCTCTCCACGAAGCTTCCCAGCCACGGCGGCACCCCCTGAGCGCCGAGGCTGGCTGGATGTCCGCGAGGGGGCTGGGCTGACGAGGAGGAGGAGGAGGAGGAAGCGCACGGCGTTTTGAGCAGTGTAGCGGTACTAATGCAGCTGTCTCAAAAATGGAGGCCTGCCCCTTGGCAAACATCTCCACGATGCCCAGCGTAGGCATCGGACTAGCGAGCACTGCTATACTACGATCTTCAAATGGTGGTGCATACGGTGCCGCGGCAAAATTTGACAGCCGAGGATAAGCCGGTCGTCCTCGAGCCCATCCCTCAAGAAGGCAGCAGATTCTGTCTCAGCGCCACACTGTCATCGGTGCGCGCTCCGCCGACACTTGTCTCAGGTGTGCGCTGCACCGGCACCTGTCAGACCACGAAGTCGTCCATGGCGAGCTGGGGGACCTTCGGTGCCTTGCAGTTGTCGCCGCCTTCGTGGCAGTGCACCTGGTTCGACTTCTCGGGCGCGGTGAAGTCCTTGACGACGGCCCAGGAGCACTGGCCCTCCACGTTGAGGGCCCCGAAGCCGACGCGCACGTAGCCCATCTCGCCCCAGTACTCGCCCCACGAATTGCGCACGATCCAGTAGCCGCCGTTCTCCTCGTCCTTGCCCCAGCCGACGACCGATACAACATGGTCGATTGACTCGCTCGGCGTTGTAATCACGCCGTTTTCGTAGTTCAGCAGCGGGTTCGCGTCGATGCCGCAGGCAATAGGACCGCGGGCATAGATCTCCTTCATCATGGCATCCTTGCCGCTGATGGAGCCGTAGTCGGAAATGGTGACGTTCGGGTACGAGCTGAGGCCGGAGCAAGCGCCGCCCTCGTGGTCGAAGCTCCCGCAGGTGCGCGCAATGTTCTCGGGCTTGCACGTCCAGTCGACTTGCTTGCAGAAGCCCTCCGTGGACTCCGAGGAGCACGCCATGTAGGGCTGGGCAGTCGCATAGCTCAGTCCACTGCCGCTGTCGGAGATCTTCTTCAGCCACTGGTACACTCCGTCGATCGATCCACCGTGGCAGCTGCCCACGCCGCCGCAGTTGAGGATGTGCTGCACGGACGGGTTGACGTCGATTCCCTCGGCGTTGCGGGCGATCTTGACACGGTCAGCGAGCGCAGACACCGCCCCATGAGCCCAGCAGGAGCCGCAGTACTGGGGGATGTGCTGGTTGAGGTTCATGGTGCAGAAGCTCTTGCCATCCTTGCTGCACCAGCTGAACTCCTCGGGGTACTCGGCATCAGACAGCAGCAGCTCGTGAGAGTTGGAGGCGTTGCCGCGCCACACGATGCCCATGCCCTCCTGCACCTCGCGTGCGAGGAGCTCGTTCCTGCGCTGGCGGCCACCGCCGCAGGTGAAGACGCCGGACGGCAGGCGCTTTGCGTCCTCCTTCTGGAAGCAGGCGCTCGGCACCGCCGCGGCCTTGCACCAGGTGCACGCAGAATCCGCGCTGCAGCTCTTCTCGTCGGTGTACTTCCCGTTGCACGCATCGCCCGCCCGCGCGGAAGCGAGCAGGGCGAAGGCCGCGGCGGCCCTCATCATCAGGACGAGTGGGTCGGGCAGCTCGGCGCGGGGAAGGGCGGGGTGGATAAGGCGGCCGCTCGGAGCAGCCCCCCGAGCCTTGAGCCAAAATGGCTACGGGAGGAGGAGGAGGAGGAGGAGGCGCGCCGGCCCGCCGCGGGGCCAGGAGGAGGAGCGAGGAGGAGGAGGAGGAGGAGGAGGAGGAGGAGGAGGAGGAGGAGGAAGAGGAGGAGGAGGAGGAGGAGGAAGAGGAGGAGGAGGAGGAATAGGAGGAGGAGGAAAGGAGGAGGAGGAACAGGAGGAGGAGGAGGAGGACGGAAGAGGTAGGGAAGGAGAAGGAGGAGGACGGAAGAGGTAGGGAGGACATGGAAGAGGAGGAGGAGGAGGAGAGAAGGAGGAGGAGGAGGAGGAGGAAGAGGAGGAGGGAGGGGAGGAAGAAGAGGAGGAGGAGGAGGATATTTGATTCGGACTTGGTCCAGGAACGCGCCCCTACTCCAGTAAGGAGGAGGGAGAGAGAAAGAGGAGGAGAAGCGGGAGTAAGAGGAGGAATAGCAGGATAAGGGAGAGGGGGAGGAGATAGGGGAGGAAGAGGACAAGCAGGAGGAAGAGGAAAAGGAGGGAAAGCGTCCAGGAAGAGGACCAAATTTAACCCAGGACGCATCAACAAATTGCAATGCAATCCGTTCCAAATCCCCTCCTCCTCATCAACACCTACAAGTATACTCCTTCTACTGTGAGAACCGCCCCCCTCTGAAAACAAACGCCCCCTTGGCATGCCATTACGGCGGGAGCTGCGTTTTGAAAGACAAAGCCTTCCATCCTTCGAGTTGTAAAGGCTGCGACCAGGGGGCCATAAGGCCCAATGAACAAACAACAACAACAACAACAACAACAACAACAACAACAACAACAACAACAAGGCAAAACAACCGGCTGGTGGACCCGGTGAGGGTCCACCAACTCGCTGTTTCGCTCCTTCTGGCGAAACATCTCGCTGGTGGACCCGGAACCCCCCCCCCCGGCAACTCAACGCAACGCAACGCAACACATGGTTGGCAACAGAAACCAAATGAAACCGTTGGAAAATACTCTGGAATCCTTCGGGATCCTGAAGAAGGCCGACGCACTCCCACGAGCTGAAACTATGTGCGCTCCCCCGAGCCGAGGACTTCGGGCATGCTGTAGAATCCTTCAGGAATGCTATAGAATCCCTAAGGGAAGGCTGCAGAACCCCTGAGGAATGCTATAGTATCCTTAAAGGGACGCTATAGAATCCTTCAAGGGATGCTATAGAATCCTTAAGGGATGCTATAGAATCCTCAAAGGGATGCTATAGAATCCCTAAGGGATGCCATAGAATCCCTTGGGGCTGCCATCGAATCCCTTAGGGCTGTCATAGAATCCCTCAGGGATGCTATAGAAGCCCTAAGGAATGCTATAGAAGCCCTAAGGAATGCTATATAATCCCTAAGGAATGCGATAGAAACCCTAAGGAATGCTATATAATCCCTAAGGGCTGCTATCGAATCCCTAAGGGATGCTATAGTATCCCTAAGGGATGCCATATAATCCCTGAGGGATGCTATAGAATCCTCAAAGGGATGCTATAGAACCCTTAAGGGGATGCTATAGAACCCTTAAAGGGATGCTATAGAACCCGTAAGGGGATGCTATATAATCCTTGAAGGGATGCTATAGAATCCTTAAGGGATGCTATAGAAACCGTAAGGGATGCTATAGAGTCCTTAAGGGGATACCATAGAATCCTTAAGGGATGCTGTAGAATCCTTGAGGGATGCTATATAATCCTCAAAGGGATGCTATAAAATCCCTAAGGGCTGCTATATAATCCCTACTGGATGCTTTAGAATCCCTAAAGGATGCTGTAGTCTCCCTGAGGGATGTTACAGAACCCTTAAAATGCTGCCATAGAATCCCTAAGGGGATACTATAGAATCCCTAAGGGGATGCTATAGAATCCTCAACGGGATGCTATAGAACCCTCAAGGGGATGCTATGGAATCCCTGAGGGATGCTATAGAATCCCTGAGGGATGCTCTAGGCTGCGATTGAATCCCGAAGAGATGCTATAGAATCCCTAAGGGATGCTATAGAATCCCTAAGGGATGCAATAGACTCCCCATGGGTCCCGGCGTGTTGCCCGGCGTCCCTCAGTGGCCTGCCCCAGAGGGGGGAGGCGCATGCCCAAATGGCTTAAACCACAAATGAAGAGAGAGAAAGAGAAGAGCGTGCCCACGTCAGCCGCAAGGCCACCAGAGCCACGGGCGTCAAATCCGCCGCCGTGCCTCCTGCACGGCAGAGGCGAGTTAGAAGCTGGGCCGGCACGGGAACGAAAAGAGGTCCCTGTGGGGCCAGGGCCACGAGTGCCGAAATGATGCTTCAGTGGGGCTCCGTGTGGGGTCAGGGCCACGATCCTCGAGAGAGGTGTGCCGAAATGAAGTTTCGAAAGGGGTGTGCCGAAATGATGCTTCGGTGGAGCTCCCTGTGGGGCCAGGGCCACAATCCTCGCGAGGGGTGTGCCGAAATGAAAACTCGGTGGAGCTCCCTGTGGGACCAGGGCGACGATCCTCGAGAGGGGTGTGCCGAAATGAACCTTCGGTGGAGCTCCCTGTGCGGCCAGGGCCGCGATCCTCGAGAGGGGCGTGCCGAAATGAGGCGTGGGTGGAGCTCCCTGTGGGACCAGGGCCACAATCATACTTGAGGGGTGTGCCGACATGAAGCTTCGGAGAAGCCCTTTGTGAGGCCAGGGCCACGATCCTCGAGAAGGGTGTGCCGAAATGAAATTTCGGAGGAACCCTCTGAGGCCAGGGCCACGATCCTCGAGAGGGGTGTGCAGAAATGAAGCTTCGGAGGAGCTCCGTGTGAGGCAGAGGCCCTATGTGATTCCTACAAGATTCCTAAATATGACTCCCATAGGATTCGTAAAAGCTTCCCGCTGGATTCCTATAGGATTCGTAAAGGCCCTTCCTATAAGATTCGCAGAGGCCCTATAGGATTCCCATCGGATTCCTACAGGATTCCTATAGGATTCGTAGAGGCCCTCTAGGATACGTATAAACATCATATAGGATTCCGATCGGATTCGCAAGAGGCCTTATAGGATTCCGATGGGAGTCCTATAGGATATGTAAAGGCCTTCTGGGACTCCGATCAGATTCCTATAGGAGTCCTATAGGGTTCGTAAAAGCCCTATAGGAATCCTATGAGACTCCTATAGGAGTCCTATAAGATTCGCAGAGGCCCTGTAGGATTCCTATGGGTTTGCTATGGGATTCCTATGGGATTCGTAGGAAGGCCTCTAAGATTACGATGGGATTCCCATTGGGTAGGTTTCGTAGAGGCCTTATAGGATTCCTATGGAATTCCTACAGGAATCGGAGAAGCCCTATAATATTCCCATAGGATTCCTGTAGGATTCCCATCGGATTCGTAGAGGCCCTATAATATTCCCATGGGATTTCTGTATCAGGCCTTAGAAGATTCCCATGGGATTCCAATTAGATTCCTACAGGATCCGTAGAGGCCTTCTAGGATTCCCATTGGAATCCGATCGGATACTTATAAGATTCCTCTGGGATTCCTAAGGAGGATTCCTATAGGCTTCGTAGAGACCCTATAGGGTTTCCAAAATATTCCTGGAGGATCCCTATATGATTCGTGGAGGCCCTATACGATTCCCAAAAGGATTCCTATACGATTCCCATGAGAATCCTAAAAGCCAGATAGGGTTCCCATGGGATCCCCATAGGAATCCTCGAGGCCCTATAGGTTTCCTACAGGCTTCCTATAGGATTCCTATCGGATTCGTAAAAAGGCCCTATAGGATTCCCATAGGATTCCTATGGGATTCCCATCGGACTCGTAAAAGCCCTCTAAGATTCCTAGAAGATTCCCGTAGGACTGGTGGAGGCCCTATGGGATTCCTACGGGATTCCTCTAAGGTTCGCGGGATCCCTATAGGATTCCCGTCGGAATCCTACAGGATTCGGGGTAACGTGCGTTGCGTTGCGTTGCGTTGCGTTGCGCGGGGGGGGGGGCGGCGCCAGTGAGTGGTTTCGTCAACAACAACAACTACAACAACAACAACAACAACACCAACAACACCAACAACACCAACAACACCAACACCAACAACAACAAGGCAGGGACGGGTCTCTGGTACCCTGTGGGCAGGGTGCCAAATCTCCGGTTTCCCCTGCTGGCGAAGACGGGTTGATGTTACCCTGCCCTCCAATTGCGGGGGGGGGTCGCAACCGCAACCGCGCAACCAGCACCATCACACGCTAATTGAAATGAAACAGTAAGGATTACCCATTGAATTCGAAACCTACTAGAGCTGGGTCTGGCTCTGAAAAAAGCCCACTAGAGCTGGGTCGAGCTCAAATACAATCCTGCTAGAACTGGGTCCAACTTTACGAGGATCCTACTAGAGCTGGGTCCAGCTTTACCAGAATCCCACTGGAGCTGGGTCCAGCTCTGACAGACTCCTACTAGAGCTGGGTTCAGCTCTAATAGAATCCTGCTAGAACTGGACCCAGTTGTAATATAACCCCACCAGACTTGGACCCAGCTCTAATAGAACCCTACTAGAGCTGGATCCAAACTTTATCATAATCCTATTAGAGCTGGGTCCATCTGTGATAGAATCCTACCAAAGCCAGGTCCAGCCCTGCAAGAATCCTAGTAGAGCTGGGTCCTGCTCTAACAGAATCCTACTAGAGCCGGATCCACCTCTAATAAAACCTTACTAGAGCTGGGTTCAGCTCTGACAGACTCGTACTAGACCTGGACTCAGCTCTAATCGAATCCTACTGGGGCTGTGCCCAACTTTCATAAGACCCTACTAGAGCTGGCTGGGTCTGGCTCTGATATATTCCTACTAGAGCTGGGTCCGGCAGGCTCAGAAAGAATCCTACTAGAGCTGGGTCCAGCTTTAACAGAAACCTACTACAGCTGGATCCAGCTGTCATGTATTTTTGCTGGAGCTGTGTCCAGCTCTAATAGAATCCGACTAGAACTGGGTCCAGCTCTGATAGAATTATACCAGAGCTAGGTCCAGCCCTGGGAATTCAATAAGAGCCAGGTCCAGCTCTAA